TTTGAAAAACCTGCAAAAACAGGTTTTTGGTTTTGTCTTTTTCTTGATAACTTGATAAGTTTTTGTTTATTTGCTATAAAATATATATCAAAATATGTGTCTAGATGAACTTAACAAAATACTAATAGTAAGTAAAGTATATTTAATTAATAAAATTATGAGCAAATAAACAAAACCCAAAAAATGGTTTTTGTAACTTTTCTCAATGGCCAAATGTTATTAGAGCTTTAAACTTAGCCACACAGAAGCAGAAAAGTGTGCTGCACAACTTTACTTAAGGGTACAAATAAGGTTTACTTAGTAAAATACTTAGAAATAGTTAAATGTTTTTAGCAAAAATTTGGTATAAGTGATCTACAGAAAGAGTTGCTATTTTTTTTTTCTTTGGTGAGTTATCACTAAGGTAGTGTTAGTATTTGTTAATATATTTTAAAACAGAATGCAGTTTAGTGACTTTTAGTAATAGTGCAAAAAAGGTTTTGATGCTGTAAAGATATAAGGAATGTGTTTGTTCATTGTTTCTTTAGTTTTTGCTGACCAAAAATTCTAGATCCTGTTTATTTTATTTTTGTTCATATTAGGTAAAGATGTAGTTTGCATATTGAAGATAGTATCTATGACATTTTCAAAGTTGTTCCAGTCTTCAGGTATCATTTTGTTAAATTGATATATTTTTTCTTTTTTTCTTTTGTTTTTGAGTTTCTTTTATAGAGAAAAGTTGATATACTAGGTTGTATGCGAATGCAATAGTTATTATCAGAAATATTTAATGTGTTAACTATTGATAAAGATTCGAATACCAATAGTATATTAGAGGAGATCAAAAGTCATCTATTTGACTAACATTGATGGGACCATGCCAGATAGGTGCTTTGATGTTATGAAAGACTAAAAGACTGGTTAAATTGGCAGCATTTAACTAAGTAAATAATGAAAGTTGTTTGTTTCTTTGTTGGTTAGCATTAAAATCTCCTAACATAATTAAGTGCCAGTTCCTAGCTTTGGCTTCTGTGATCCAAATGAGTAATTGAGATTGGGTGTATTTAAGAGAGAAGCATGTTTTGAGAGAAGATAAATTGAGATGATGCAGGATTTGTTGTTGTTAGAAAAGAAGAAGTCTATACAAATTACAGTGTCTGGTAAGGTTTTAATGTTGTGAATATATAGTTGTAATTGGTTGCATAACATTAAGACTGTTCTCAGACTTGTTTCTCATTAATTTAATTTGTAAGATATAAAATTTAAAGTATATATTTTGTATAATAGATTAGTTAGTAATCTGACTGTTAAATTTTTTAATTTGGTTTCTGTAAGAAAAAATATATGCAAGTTTGATGTTGCATAGTATTTGATCCATGTCTGCATTTTTAGTATATTATTAGCACTTCTAATATTATGAGTAATTATGTTAATTTTTTATTTAGATTGAATTTAGATAGGTTTGGTTCTTCTTTTTATAATTGTGAGTTGATTGTTAATGTATTGTTGTTGACATTTGGTGTGTTTATACTATTAGTTAATATTATCATTGTTGGATTTTGGGTAAGAAGATCTTTCAGCATGGTTCTGGGAGAGATGGTAGTACTAATATAACATCTGAAATGTTGTTAATTGTAAAATGCTGTCTTAACAAGTCAAGTGTGTCTTTGCTTTGGTCTGTTATATAATAGGAATAGATGTTGTTGCTATATCAATATTTTTTGCATTTAGATATTCTTTAATTTCAGTTGGTGAGTTTGAAATTATTGGTTTGGATAGAGGTTTGGTTTTATTAGATTTGTACTATACATATTAGTATCTTTGATGTTCGCAGGTATTTTTATTCAAATATTTGAAATGCAATAGAAATAATATTTTTGTCTAAGTTATCTAGCTAAGTCTACTAATATTTTGGTTATAATTATTGGTGTTACAATGCTGAATTCTTTGATATGTTCAGAGTTTTCTGGCAAATCTGGCTTGTCAATAGGATTTGCTGTTATTATATTAGGTAGTAATAGAAGTAAAAACTTGTAAACTGTAATATTTGGTCAATGAAGCATTTTGCTATTTAGTTGTCTGAAATAGAATAGGTAAAGAAATTAGGTGTTTTAATTTTTTTAGAGTCCTTAAATAGTGCTAACTTGACCTTAAAATAGTCATTCAGAAGGCTTCTAAAGGAGAATTTTTCTATGAATTGTTCTATAATTTGTGTAATGTTAGTATCTGAATTCTGTAAATCAATTGGAAAATGAAGTCTATATTTGCTACTTAGATCCTGGTATGCTAGCAGTAGTGGTTTTTTTGGTAGTGATAGGTTAAAGAAACTGGAAGATATAATATCACAAGCATAGTAGTCTTATAGTTTCTTTTTAAAGTATGCCAAGTTATTTAGTTGACTACACTCTGTAATAGGAAAGAGGTCTTTTATTTTTGAATAAAATTCATGTATGTTTTTTGGTATTGGGTCTAATGTTGTGAAGTATTTCTCTGGTAGTTGGTCAAAGTTATAAATTCTGTGTAGTCCAGCCAAAATGGCTTTTATTTGTGATCTTTGTTTTATAGAAAGCTCAAAAGGAAGTATTTGAAGGTTTTCTTGTGGTATTTCACTTGGGTTTGCTGGAAGTAGGACTAGTTGTGTAAAGAAAGCATTTTGTACTGCTTCTTGTATTTTTTTAAATTCAATTGAAGTTTCATCTTTGGTAAAGCCTTTATAATATTCAATTAGATAACTTATAGATTTGGCTGTGTTTGTTATAAAGTTTGTATTAATAAGATAGTCAATCATAATTTTTTATCTAAGCTTTGTATATATGGTATCTCTAATCACTCTTGTTGTGATTGTAATTTCATGTTGTATTTTATAGTTTTCAATTACTTCTTTGAACAGATCTTTATATATGATTTGGTAAGATAGTATTGTCATTTATCTTTGGTAAATGTAAGGAAGAAGCCATGATTCTGGTGTTTGAATTTTGCTTTGATTGCAGGATGAAGAAAATGATTAGTTGGTTTAGTTTACAGATTGTGTACTGTAAAGTTAAAGATTCCTTTTTTTGTTTTTAATGTCATAATAATTTCATCATATCTCCAGACATTTTTGTCAAAAGGTTGGGTAATTCTATTTTAAAGATTATTATATATTCTATTTATCTATTCTTGAGTATAATCTATCTTCATATCTATTTGTGTTTTGCTAGATGTGTGAATATTTTTTTTGGTTATTTGGTTATAGATAAATGGTTTGTGTTCTTCTGAGTTACTGTCTATGGTTGCAACTGATTCTGTATCCATGTGATTATCTTCTATATCTGTATGTTCTTTGTTGTTTGAGACACTATGTTGGTTATCAATACTGATTGAGACATCCCTAGTGTTGGGGTTTTCTAAATTAGATTCTATTGGGAATGTGAAATTTGCAGATTCCATTAATGTGTTATCAAAACCAGTTTGTACAGATTTGTTGTTGTTATTGTTTATATATAATGATGTCATACTTGAGTTTAACAAGAGTGAGCTAAATTGTCCACTTTTTGTATTGCTTTGAGATCTTAGAAGGAGGGTTTATTGTTTCTTTATTGACATATCTGAGTAGATGAAGTCTTTTTTAAATCTGGTTTTATTCTTCAGAGAACTACTATCATGAAGACTTGCAGTTTGTTTTCCTATTTGCAATTGTAATGTGATCTCAAAAGAGAATATGAATAAGAGGCCTGCTGACCTTTGTTGGTCTTCTTTGTTTGCTGTAATGTTGATGATTCTGCTTTGTTTTCTTTTAATCTTGTTTATATTTTTGTTTAATTTTTTACTTTGTCTATAAACTAAGCCAAGAGCTAGAAGCAGCTGTTAGTCATTAAAACTTTATTTACTTTGAAAATTTCTATCTGTCTATTTTGCTGATTATTTTTTACTTAATAATTTGTGATCTACGGGAAAGAGTTTTAAGTTATTTTAGTTATACCTTAAATTAAATAAATTAAATTATGACAAATAAATTACATAATTTTTTTTTATTAAATGGCTTATAAATACAAATTATTATTACATATGTTGTGAGTCGATCCTAGTCATTGTCTTAACGTAACCTAATCATAATTCGTCTTCTCCATAATCCCGCAATTTACTTGTTGGCACTTATGTTTGGGCCTAACATATAAATATTAATAAGAACCAAAAATTTTCGAAAATAGTAAAAAAAAAAGGGTTCGCTACGATAAATTAATTAGCCCGCCAAAATTTTTTTGATAAATTTGATTGGTCAGTAATCATGCATGGATCTACGCAATTAACCAATCACATGTTTGTCTTCCTATAAGAACTACCCCAGTGCAGGGACGATGATTTTCTGCGGTGACAAAATGCCAATTCCGTCCGTGATAAAAGATGATTCTGCAAAAATTCTGCGATTGGCCGGAATTACGTAAAGTCGGCCAGCATTATGATCCACAAATTCTGGCCGAATTAATATCAGCCGGCATTATGATGACTGTAGACCCTAAATCCAGGCCAAAATTTAAAAAATGATCTGAACCAATTCCGTGATTTTCTGCAAAATTCCGTGAACGCAGAAAACCATCGTCCCTGCCCCAGTGGCACCGACAGATTTTCACTGATCGAAAGCGATTGACCAATTAGATTACAAGATCAGGTGTAAGATAAGACAAGTATAGTTATAATTATAAACCTGACCCTAATGTACCGTTTTATGACTTTAAAAAAAATGTCGATGCCACTGGGGTAATTCTGTACGCACTAGTCGTGTAACATCGATGGCTCCTCTATCTATATTTGTATAAAGTCGTGGAACTTTTGAGACACCCTGTATTTGCATATTAATACGTATATTTAAAAATAGGAACGTATGAACACCCAGTATATAGTAATTACTGCATGATTATTATTCAGAAATTGTACAACCCAAGAGCAAACATATTTTATATAAAATGATTGAAGGCTTTAGATAACTTGTACTACGTATACGTACGTATGTACTTAAATATTCCGTATACTTGCGAATTCTCATGGACAAATTTGAACATTTGAAAAAGTTCAATTATGAAGACTTTCAAAATATACAAGATCTACCGAATATTTCAGACGAATTAATCGAAATCAAATATGCTTATTTGAAAACGAGCAATTCTCATGTTACCATCAAAATTTTAAAATATAATGAAAATGAATATTACAATAGATTAAATGGAGAAGTATGTTACCGTTAAACTATAAATGAGTATTTTTGTGACCATATTCCAAATTTTGATCATTTGTTAAGACAAGTTTATAAAATACCAGATACAAAATTTAAAAAATATTCTCGCCAATGAAAATGTGATCAAATTTCTTGGTGTCACTAAAGGTATTATTGTATTTGCTCATTATCAAATTAAAATTTCATATTATTTTAACAATAGTTTTTATTATCTCAGACCCTTCTAAGAAGTTTTACTCTATAGTGCTTGAGTATTGTGGCGACAAAAATTTAAGTATGGATTTAGAAAGAGTCTCAGAAAAACACTGGCCTCATAAAATAAAAATGGCGAAAGCTCTTGCCAATGGCATAAACTTCATTCATGCGGAGAATATTATACTTTGCAACCTGGTTAGCATATCATTCATGTTATTCTAATCCAATTTAGACAACATTTAATTATAACTCAATGTAATTCTAGTTTACTGTATTGACTATTATTTAATTTTTTTTTGCATAAACATTAATGACAGAACTCAAGAAACATAATAAGTAATGATGATAAATTGGTGATTACAGATTTTAGCTCAGCTGCACCTCTCTTTAGTCAAGTGAAACCTATTATCGAAATTACCTACAAAAATGTTGCTTATGTGGACCCGAGAAGTTTTAATTGTACCGATATGTTTGACAAATCTTCTGATATTTACAGCCTAGGGGTGATATTATGGGAGATATCAAGCGGTAAACCAGCATTTGATAATAATCATGGGATAGATATAGACAAATTAAAAGGTTCTCTTTTAAATGGAAAAAGAGAATTACCCATCAATTTAACACCTGTAGATTACAAAGATCTTTATTGTGATGCATGGGATATGGATCATACCAAACGTCTATCAATTAATGAGGTCGTCGATTGTCTCGAAGAAATTGATCTTGATTTCGTGTATCACGATTATGGTTGTACTCCAAAAATTTCTTGTAGAAAAAATAATTCTACTACAAAAGAGGAAGCTTGCTTAAAAATCATTGAAGGTTCGCCTCGAAATCACTACCTTTTCCTTCCTGAAGGTGTAATATTTGTAGGAAGGAAAGATTCAAATGACATCGTTATAAAAGATCAAGAAATTAAAAAGAAACATGCAAAAATTAACAATTATCATGGGCAAGTTGAAATCACTTGCTTTGATTTTAAATCAAAAATTTTTATTAATGGGACACAGCTTGATTTTCATACTCTATATAAGTTGAAAAATAATGACATAATTAAAATGGGAAATAGCACTTTTCAATACCTTCCCGCCGCTAGAGAACTTAAAAAAAACATTGATTCACGTTTACAGATTTATAATAACTATTATTTGATGAAAAGTCTGAATGAAGAATTTGAAAATAACAAAAGCAGCCGAAATAAACAAAAATTGAGTTTATTGTTTTGTGATTTGGATCACTTTGGAAAAGTTAATAAAGAACATGGCCATGAGGCTGGAGACTATGTTTTAATAAAATTTTCAGAGTTAATCCAAAATGAATATGTTCGTAATAACGTTATTTTTTCTAGATACGGTGGAGAAGAGTTTACTATTCTTCTCATTAATATAAATTTAAAGTCGGCCTGCAAAATTGCTAAAGATATTCGAACCTCTATTGAAGAATATCAATTTAGTTACAAAGAAGACAAACAACTGTCTATTACACTTAGTATTGGTGTTTCCGGAATGAACTCCTCGATTAAAGAGTCTAAAGACATATTATATCATGCCGAAGAAGCTTGTAGGATGGCCAAAAAATATGGTCGTAATAGGGTGGTAATATGGGAGAATGAACAAGTATCAATCCGTATGTATATACTAATTAGCTTGACTTATGTTTTTAATCTACAATAGTACTTAATCTTACACTTATTTATACACTCATTTATAGAAAAAGTATGTTATATTTTAATTATTTTAATATAGTTATTTTGACAATTTTTTTTAAAAAAGGAATTTTATTATTTACACCAATTTTTCAGCACTTAAAATTTTCTCTACACTCGAAATTTGCTGAAAATGGAAATCATTGGGATCAAAACAATCTTGCAATATGCTATAAAGATGGAATAGGGACAGATAAAGACGTGCAAAAGGCATTTGAATGGTTTACAAAATCTGCTGAAGGTGGAAACCACTTAGGACAATGCAATCTTGCACATTGTTATAACGATGGAATCGGTACCCAAGAAAATCAATCAAAATCATTACAATGGTATATGAAATCTGCTACAGATGGGAATCGTTTAGCTCAATTCATTATAACAAATTGGTTTCAGAAAGGAATAGGCGATATAAACAATGATACATTCCAATTCCTTGAAAAATCTGCTAATAATGGAAACCATTTAGGACAAGGGTTGATTGCATTGTGTTTTCTTTATGGAATTGTAGTTGGTAAAGATAATGCAAAAGCTTTTCAATGGGCTGAGAAATCCGCAAAAGGTAGAAATACATTAGGGCAAAATATTCTTGGGTTTTGTTATCAGAACGGAATTGGTGTCGGAAAAGATTTTACCAAAGCATTTCATTGGTATAAACTATCTGCACAAGGTGGAGATATAAATGGACAGTACAGCCTTGGAATTTGTTATCAAAACGGAATTGGAGTCAAAAAAAATGAAGTAGAAGCATTTCAGTGTTACGAAAAATCTGCGCAAAGTGGGAATACAAATGGACAGTGCCAGCTTGGAGTATGTTATCAAGACGGAATTGGAGTCGAAAAAAATAACGTGGAAGCATTTCACTGGTACAAAAAGTCTGCTCAAGGTGGAGATACAAATGGACAGTACAATCTTGGATTTTGTTATCAAAACGGAATTGGAGTCAAAAAAAAGGTGGTGGCAGCATTTCACTGGTACGAAAAGTCTGCTCAGGGTGGAAGTATAAATGGACTTTACAAACTTGGCGTTTATTATCAAACCGGAATTGTAAATAGTATTTTAGGTAAAGACACAACTGTAGTCAAAAAAGACAATAAAAAGGCATACATGTTGTTCTTGGAATCCGCAGCTGGTGGAAATAATGAAGCACAGATTAAGCTACAATTGGAATTCCAACCTCTCATTCCATCTCAAGCCTCACCATTTCCGTCAGACGAAAATGAAGTTTTAAAAATTGATACAAAATGGTACTCAATTTTGGGTGAAAAATTACCTTTAATCGAACCCAAACATTATTTCATATTTAGTGAACTTATTCTTCAACCAAAACTATTATCTCATCAAATTCATGCAAATGTGGCAGCAGTTCTTCCATATATTCGACAGCAAGTTAAAATGCGTGAAGTTGACATTCTTAAAGCCGAAAACTTTGCAAATTTAATCAATGATGAAGAAGATGAATCTTCTGATAATGAATCAAAGGATGAAAGCAAAAAGTTAATGAACAGATTATCTAGATTTGATTGCCTTGCTACTTTATTGGCCTCTGCTGAATCTACTGTTGCTCAAAATATTTTTCAAATTATATCACAATTTCCAATTGCACTTCCTTTATTGATACCCGAGTTAGATAACTCTGAGAAGTTTAAAATAATGCTTCCTTTATATACCGGACCAGCTATCAAATGGTGTACAAGCAATGGATCAATTATAGAAAATCATCTTTTTGAGGATTCTTTTAAAATGATTGTTGCAGTTCGGATTGGAATGAATCCTCAAGGCAAAAGTACCATACTTAATCGGTTGATGGCTTCAAAATATATGTTCACATCATCTTCTGAGCCAAGAGCCGAGTATGGAATTCCACACATGATCAATGGAAGTGTTGAGTTTGTTTGGCTAACAGAAGAGACTTGTGGTGCTGATCTATGGAACAACGTTTTTAAAAATCATTATTATTATGAAGGAAGAAATGAGATTGTATTGCTTGCAAATTTACATGGTGACGCTTTATATCATAAAGATCAAATTGAATTTCTAAAACAATTGGCTTCTTGTTTCTTGGTTTTTTTGATGCCTGGGCATGATGAAAATCAAAGAATTAAACTGGAATCATTAATTGGTTTAAAAAAAGTTAGATACATCTATGTGAATCCTGAGAATAATGTAGATGTAAGGGATAATTACATAATTGATACAAAATCTTTGATGAGTAATGAAGAATGTGAAATTTTTAAAGATGTCTTAGATCTTGATTCTGCCGAGCATGGTAAATTTCCAATTAATAAACTAAAAATGGAAGGAACACTTCGACTTGCTGAAACTATAAAATGTGATGAATCCCAGAAAATTATAAAAGAAATTATAAAAGTTATTAAGGACAAAACTTGCCGTCATATTAAATTAGAGATTGTACAACTTCAAAGAAAAGAATTTGAGGATCAATCCGATTTCTCAAAATTTTCGCAGTTCACAAAAGAGTTGAAATTATTCAGTTCTATTATAGCACTACCTATTAGAGAAAGAATAAATGCTTTAGCACATCTTGAAAGAGAGTTATCCAGGCTTTCCACATTGGAGTCTTCTAAACCTCGGAATGACGCTATATCGAAAAAGAAACAATTAAATAACGTGAATATTGTGAAAAATGATAAAGAAAAAAACCAAATTCGTGAAGCAATTATAAAACTTTGGGAAGAAGTTGATAACACAAGTTTGGGAATCGAACATTTCTTTCGAGGATTAGGACATATGTATAACATCTATAAAATTTTTATTTCTGATCCAAAAGTAATGATTTTTGACGATGGTCTAACAAAAGAAAATATTTTGAAACTACCAGAATATTATGCAGAGTTGTTAATTAATGGTCACACTATAGAATTGGTTGATGGTGATTCTGCAGCTATATCTGAAGCTTGGTTCTTAGCAGTTTGTAGTTATATTAATAGAAAATTTCCCAATCTTAGGGTTTATGTAATCAGTATACTTGGATTACAATCTTCTGGAAAGTCCACTCTCCTAAATGCACTTTTTGCAAGTAAATTTACTGTTTCAGAAGGACGTTGTACTAGGGGGATTTTTATGCAATTTTTATTTTTAGAAAAAGACTTATCTGATCAACTTGGCGTTGATGCTTTTATTTTGATTGACACTGAGGGACTTGGTGCATTAGGGAAAATGGGAGAATTAGAAACAGATAAGAAGGATCAAATAATAGCAACATTTGTAATGCGAATAAGTCATTTAATAATTATTAACATACTTGGGGAATCAATGAAAGAGATCTTACAGATAACTATTAGAACAATGGCAAATCTTAACACGTCTCCAAATATACTTATAATACAGCATGTTGTAGAAAATTATAAAACAAAATCAATAGAACTAGAACAGAAATTTCAAGACATTTTTCAAGAAGTTTTAGAAAACGTCAAACATATAGACGGTAAAATGGAAGCATGCAACTTTGAGTGTCTTAGTAAGATGAAAGATAAAAAACTTTACAAAATATTTGCACCATTTAAAAATGATAAGATTTGCCATAAGGATATTGTTGACTTATACAATTCTATAATTAATGAATGTAAAGATTCAATAATTAAAGTAACATTTTCAGAATGGTTTCCACTAATTAAAGGATATTGGGATACAGCATTATGTGAAGATTCATTTATCCTAAAGTTTAAAGAAACCTTTGATTTCATTAAACTTGGAAAGCAAATCGCAAAATTGAAAGTAATGATTGATATGGCATTTTTAAAACATAAGGAATCGATGGAAGAAAAAATTCGAAATATTGTTCAAGAACAGATTTCAAAAGGTTCAAGTGTGGATTCAATTAAATCAGAATGTGAAGAATTGATTAAAAAGTTAAATAATGTTCCAGAGATTAGAATTAAGGTAGATTGTGAAGAATGTAAAAAAGTAGCTAAAGAGAGAGATGAATTTGAAAAAAGAAATTATGTTATGGAGAATGAAACGATCGAAGGGTATATCATTGATTGTCGTGAATCTACTTCTATGGAGCTTAAAAAGATGCTTGATAGTAGTTTAACGCGAAAAAAATTTTTCAGCCATTATGAATTTATTGACAAGTTATTAGAAATGGTTGTAAGCACACAGAAGGGAATAGGTAATATATGGAACTCGTTGCGTGAAAGAGTATTGGCAGAAAATAAAAAATTTATGAATGAAGAGATTGATAACAAAGTATATCAAGAATATAGAACGACGTGGACGCCAGATCATTTCAAAAATTACATAAAGAGAAATATTCCAGAATTATCTAATATTGATGCAATATGTTATCCTGGTTGGTTTTCAATGAAAAAACGTTTTGGTCCAGATGATATAGCATGGCTCAAAAATGAAATTAATCGTGTGATAGAACAAATTTCATCTAAGACTAACAAATTTGATTCTGAAGTTGTTCATAAACTTAAAGATGAAACAGAAAAAATATTGGATAATCTTTCAACTCAACTTGACGTAAAATTTAATTCCGAATTTAAAATAAATGTTCATGTTTACGCGTTATTAGAGATGTTAGGAATTCTAGAAAAATGGGACAAACATAATACACTACTTGGAGTGCTTGATAAAATAGAAGCCGAATATAAAGAAAAGATTGAGATTCGTGTTAAATATGACCATTTGCCTACATATAAAGGTCATGTAACTGGTGACTATTTATTGAAAGCTATTCATAAAAAAGCGATAAATGCAGAAAGTCGAGATCGAATAGATAATGTACTTAGCATTCCTTGGATAGGGTCTTCTGAAACAATTAGACTTAAATATTTTATTGAACTTGCTGAGCAAATTCGTAATGGTGACAAAGTTAAAGCAGTACTGCACTTTTCATCCCCTAAAAAAAGGATTGAAGAGTGGTTTCAAGACAAGGTTAATAAGTATACAAAAAAAGAAAAAGGACAAAAATATAAGGAAACTTTTGATAAGCAACTTAATGATGTTTATCAGGAAATTAGCAAATGTAAAAGTTATAATGATATCAGAAAATTTGTAAATAAATATATGGCACAGATTGGTGATATTGACTATCAATTGAACATTAAAGATAATTCAATTAATGAAAATTTTGACATGTTTTATGAAGCTATCGTGAAAGAACTCGAAGATAAATGTAAAGATCATTGTCAGCTAAAAGAAGAATCATTACCAAATCCATCGGATGATAAATTGGTTAAGAAAAGGCTTGGATGCACAAAACATTGTTACTGGTGTGGAGCTTTATGCTGGGGAGAAAGAGACCATGATAAGAATAGTGGAGAGACAAAGAGTCATCATTCTAGCCATCAACCGGGGGGCCTTAAGGGGACACAATATAAAAGCACGAGAAAACTAGTTGCGATATCGTGTCACAACCGTTCGGATGAAACAAAGGTGTATTATTCTATAGATAATGATGCAAAAATTCTGGAATGGGGTGAAGCAAAATCCACTGACTTCAAAGATTGGAAATTTGAACCCCATTATATCACTAATTTTAATGAAATTATGTGTTGGTTTTTTGAAAATTTGCATAAAGATCTAGCAGAAAAATATCATAGCAAACCAGCAGATGAGTTAGAATTAAGAAACCACGGTTGCTTAAAAAAGGATTACTATAAAATCATCAGTGTGTTGCGTCAGTATCTTGAAAAATGATCTTAAAAATGAAAACGCCTGCGTAGCACAAAATTTCGCGCAGGACCGGTACGATAATAATATTGAAACGAAGTTAATAGTTTATTGAAGAGTGACAAACTTTCTGTGAATAGAAAGAAGCTATTAGCAAGAATTATGTATCTTGGTCTATATTAACATTTTGAATGTGAAATTAATCAATTTTACAGCCTGGTTAATGGTAATTCTAAACTAAAGTTCATGTTCGTCTGATTTCTTATACATTAGTATTTATTTTTTAGATCTAGTCTTTATAGTGGTATTGTCAAAGATTTGTGTTACCTCTCTACTTGGATCTTTTCAAATGGGCTTCAGCTTCCTAGTTTTACTGATTTACACAATTACAATAACTTATCTTGAGTTTGCACTGTCTGATACTGATTTGTATTTTTTTGTATAACTTTAATATTACATAGATGTCTTATAACTGTTAGTTATACTAGTGTAATGATAGTTACAAATATCTTATCACAACTGATTAACAGAATGTCATTGTTATAATATCACTTATCTTTTATAATACTAATATTATATAGGTGGTTTTTCAAATTTTTGTTGTTGGTAGGTTTTGAATTTCCAACTTACTATTTGAAGAATTAACAACTTATTCACTTTACTAAGTTATCATACTTCAGTAACTAGTATAAAACTTTTAGCTAGACTATTTAAATTAGATAATAACTAAAGTTTTATTAGTGATTAGTTATATTCTCTTTTTATGATTGTTTTTTGAAATTAGTTAAATATATTATTATATTCTAAATTATAAATACTTATCTTAATATTAAAAAAATTATATATATAAATAACTATTATAATATCTATAATACTTGTATTCTATTAATTACTTTTAATTTTTTTTTTTAATGTTAATAGTGAGGCTATGCCTCTATCTTTATTGAATATTTAATTGAGATTTTATTTAAAGTATAATTCTGCTTTTAAAATATTATAGAAAGAATAGAAGCTCAGACTAATTTATCTGCAACCTAAACCAACTGGAGTGGCCAAGACTCATCTAGATTTGAGTGTTAGTAATTATGTATAGGAGATTAATTTGATATTTAATCCATTGGATATACCAAGAGTTTATTTTTAACCTAATAGAATTGAGTAGAAGAGAATGTAATGAAAGTGAGACAGCATTTGAAGATGTGTTATATTTAGGGATTTGGGTTGTAGATCTTAAGATGCAATATGGAATCCAGATTTTATGGTAAATTTGTTAATTAAGATAAAGTAAAAACTTGATAACAAGTGTTATGATTACTTTTTTGGATGACAGGTTTGCAATAATATCAATGAGTTCATTTGGTATGAGACCTGTTAGAGTTGAAAAGATTGAAGATAAGTTTGGTATACTGTGAATAGTCATACTACTCAACAGCTTGATTTGGTTGTATAAATTGGTTATAGTATTTGAAGTAGTGTCGAGTATTTTAGTATTTATAGTATGTTGTAGTGAAATGTCTATAAGGCTGTATAGCAATTAATGAGATGAACAGGTTGTTCAGTGAAGATGAGAACTAATTTGATAACATTGGTGACAGATAGGTGAGTATGAGTGATATCATTTATGTAGGATGTGTGGAGTAGAAAGATCATCTAGTAGAATTTTAATTTTAAAGGATTTAAGAGTAGAGGACTAGAAGCTGTGCAAGAAGTTTGAGATCTTTTGATTATTGTTGATGTATAGCCAGATGGCTTGCCAATTATGATTAAGAATGTGAAGACATTCATCAACAGTAAGTGATTCAGAACCTTTTGATTCACCCTTTCCTTTAGT